CTAAATTTTTCTCAAATTTTTTTTCTCAAAACTTAAAAAAAAAAATCAAATATAAAATTTCCAGCCTAAATTACCCTACCCTAATTTTAAAACTTTTCAATATTAAAATTCTTTCTTTAAAATATATTTAAAACTTAAAAACCCTAAAAAAAATTCAAATATAATTTTTTTCGTCTAAACTGTCCTATACTAATTTTAAAAAATTTCAATATTAAATGTTTTTCTTTAAAATAAAATTCAAAACTTAAAAACCCTAAGAAAATTCAAATATAAAATTGACAGCCTAAACTACCTTACCGTAATTTTATAAAATTTCAATATTAAAATCATTTCTTTAAAATAAAATTCAAAAACTTTAAAACCCTAAAAAAAATTAAAATATAAAATTTTCCGCCTAAACTTTCCTAAACTGATTTTAAAAAATTTCAATATTAAATTCTTTCTTTAAAATAAAATTCAAAACTTAAATACCCTAAAAAAATTCCAATATAAAATTACCCCCCTAAACTACCTTACCAAATTTTATAAAATTTCAATAGTAAAATGATTTCTTTAAAATAAAATTCAAAACTTAGAAAACCTAAGAAAAATTCAAATACGAAATTTTCGGCTTAAACTACCCTACGATAATTTTTTAAAAAATTCAATATTAAAATTTTCCTTTAAAACAAATTCAAAACTTAAAAAATTACAGAAAAATTCAAATATAAATTTCCCCCTTCAACTACACTTTCTTATTTTTTAAAAATTCAAATATTAATTTTTTTAAAAAAAAAATATAAAAAACATAATAAAATCTGTAAAAAAAGCTCTACAAATACCACCACCTACTCCCAAATTAATTATTCCCCACAGTTATTTTTCTTCATTAATTCCTCCTCCCCTTCTTTAATTCCATTTACTCTCTCAATCTTCTCCTCCCCTCCACCTACCACTCGGTGGCGAAGGCGGCGGCGGCAAAAGTGGCTGAGGAGGAGACTTCCTCTTTTTTCTTTTTTCTTTTTTTCTCGTGATATGTGCTATGTATGATAATATTTTGCTATATTTTGGACAATTTTTCGATTAAAAATTTTGTTTATGTGCTCCTCATGGTGTGTTTTTACTGTGTAATAAGTTTCAGAGAGTTTAACAAATTTTGGGCATATTTGAGTGACAAAACAAAACGCATGAAGACTTTAGGCGTGATCATGCAGCACAATGTGGAAAATGTGGAAATTACAAAGAAGTCCTCCGGGGTTAATTGGCAATTGAGAGAATGTTAGGCGATTTAATTGCAAAGGGGATGTAATTACGAAGGGGATCATGGGATGAGAATTAAGAAACATGATTTGCAATTGAAGAAGAGAAGAGGAAGCACACTACCACGACACCAATTTCTTAAAAAGAGAAGGGAGAAACAAGAACACGGCATAGCAGAGAACTTCGAGAAGCAGTGCAGACGACTTTTCGGGGCATTATTCTTCTATTCTAGACTTGTTCTTCCTTTTCTATTTCTAAAGAAATGAAGGCAGGATGAACTTTTTGAATTGTTTCATGTTTTCAATTTCTATGAGTTGCGAGTAATTTCATTTATAGCCTAGGTGTGAATTGATGTTTGTGATTGAATTTGCGAGACTTGATTCTGGTTGAATTTGGTGTTTATTGATGTTGGGTATTTCTAATTCTTCTAATTTACGAGTGTAGGAATTTTAAATTGATTATTGGGGATGTATTGATTTAAGATTTCATAGGTGTATTGGAGATTGATACCCGTAATTGTATAATCTTCCAATTGATGTAGCGACCTAGAGGAAGAATACTCTAGGAAGAATTAGAATCAATTTTGAACAAATCTGCGTAGGAATTTTGTTAAATTGAATTGAACCTTTCTAGTCTTTAATGCTGTCGCATCTCATACCTAGGATTCTCAATCGATTAGGGAAATAGCTAATGATCGTACCTTAGCTATCGACAAAGTAATGAAAGGTTGGTTGTGAACGCGTGTAGGTCAATTATAACCAATTTATCCAATTGCAGTACAAAAAAAATAATATATTTGTAACGGAATTCCGTCCCTAAAGTTCACGTAGCTAACGTAATTCCGTTCCTAATTCCGTCTCTAATGTCATTAGTAACGGAAAAAGTAGATTTAGAAACAACAAAGTTTTGTTACAAAAATGATTTTTTCTTATAATGAACATGATTTTTAGTTGATGAACAAATTTTATATTCCGAATAGTTTAATCATATTTGATAAACCAATCGTCTTGTATTTTAGTTTTATTTTTTTTAATTGAGAAATTTCTTTATTTAGTGTGATAATCAAAATTCCCCATTTATAAATATATAGTATAATTAAAAATAATTGAGGTGGAGCCATTTCTTTTTCTTCTTCTCTGGCAGCGGTGACGGTGACGGGCGCAAAAATGATAGCGGAAGCAGCGGCTGAGGCGGAGCCCTCCTTTTTCTTTTTCTTCTTCTCCGGCAGGCGGCGGCACCGGGGACTGGTGGCGGTACCGGAGGCTTCTTCTCCGGCACGGCGGCGGTGGCCTGTGCTCCTCTTTTTTTTCTTTCTTCTCCCGCACGGTGGCAGCGGCAGCGGAAGCTGCAGCAGCGGGGGCAGTTTCGGAATTTTCTCCAGTGACGGTGGCGGAGGCGCTCTGGCGGCAAGTGGCGGAGGAAGCTGCAGAGTCGAGTGCGGTTTCGGAATCTTCTCTGGCGATGGTGGCGGCGGCGGCGCAAGCTGCATTGGCAGGGCGGTTTCGGAATCTTCACCGGCGATGGTGGCGGCGGCGCTCTGGCTGGGCAGGCGGCGGCCATGGAATATTATATATATATATTTCTTTCAAAAAAAAATTAAAATTTTCTTTGGAATTTTTCAATGCTATTGGCATAATATATTTTTTTTTAATAGAAAATTTTTAAACTTGCTTTGGAATTTCCTTATCAATTTTCATTAGTCTCAGAATTTTCGAAACTATCTAGCCTCGGAATTTCTGAAGCATCTTGCTTCAGAAATTTTGATACTATCTGAATTAGCCTCGGAAATTCCGAGACAACACAAATTGCCGCAAAAAATTAGTCATGGGACCTTTTCCGAGACTATGTCTGAGGCTAATGGAAAATAGGTCCGGAAGCGGTTCATTTTCCGAACCAATTTTTCGAGGCAAAACATACATTTTTTGGTAGTATTTTTACTTTTATTATTTTTTAATAAAATATTTATTTTTCATAATGTTTGTATCGAACCCAAATAAATTGTTTTAACCGGATGTTTGTATATATATATTGACAATGTATACGTTAGTATAAATATAATATGCATATTTATTAGGGTAGGGTGTTTTCATTCGCACTTTGATGGTTGGGGTTCATTATTATTCTATTTTAATAGGAAGCGTGCTCGGCACAAATATGGATTTGACACATCAAAGATGTAATTCTATTATACATGTAAAATATTATTCATTCAAGTTTACATTTTGAAAATGATATTATATTTAATATTTATTTTTGAATTTAAAATATTACATTAAAAAAAAATCTATTTTCTGTATAGGGACTCTACTATTTACGTCGCAACTGATCTTAATTGCAAGTGATCGAAGCTTTAGAACTCTACCCAAAATACCCTGAGAATTACATCACATATAACCTCCAAGCATATTGTAAACAAAATTGTTTACACTACAATTTTGGAGACTTTGGTACTATTCAACTTTTCAAAACAATCACACCAACTATTTTTTTTTTCTCTTACAAAATATCAAATCAAATATTAAACGGGCGGAAAACTATTTTGTTCTGAGCCTCCCCGTTAAACCGGTTTGGTTTAGATCCGCCTAGGCTGGTCCGGCTAGACCCTTCACAGACCACAATTTTGTGTCTTTGAACTCTTTTTTGATGACATATTTATTCCTGCATAAAATAATGTAATCCTCAAATTTTGAAAATATTAACTTAAAATAAAAGTTACAAATAAAAACTTACTGACATTTTATCTTTAGAAATACAAATTTGTAATTTAAAAAGAAGTAGAAATTGTTTTAAAATAGTGTCATTGTCAATACACGACATTATTAGATACTTTAGGGTTGGGTATCTATATCAAGTGTATAGCAATACTACTACGTAAATATCCATAACCTTTTAACAAATTGATTAAATATTTTCTCAATTAAAAAAAATATATGTTTGTATTCAATTGACATTTAAACTCATTAAAGATATTAAGTAAGGAAAGTAGATGCAAAATTAACCTGTAAATGACAAATTTGTATGAGTCGTCTTCAGAACATTATTGATAGGATTGCACCTCCGTCTATAACAACTTCTCTTACACTCCAATACTAGAAATATTTTCCTCATATGTAATATTTTCATTTGTTTTCACAACTTTTCGAATCTTCTTCTTTATTTATAGACAAACATAACTAATTTATTTAGGTTTTCAAGAAAAATATTTAATTCATCCAATACTTCCTATCTGTTACCTACCAAATATACTTTAATTCACCAATCTATTTGCCAACTATACTCATTTATTAATTACCTACCAACTAAACACATTAATTTACCAACCATATAATGTCTTCAATTTTAAAAATACTTAGTAATTATTAGAAATATAATAATCACAAGCATAAATTTCATTTAGCAAATAAACAATCCCTTTAAGTTGATCTATGGAATAATTTATTAACAATACATGTGACGACTATACATGGATAAACAAATAAATTGCAATCATGCATAAATGACACATCCCTTTAAATGATTTAAGGAATAATTTATTAACAATACATGTGACGACTTATGTTCAAGAGAAAAATAAACTAAAAAAAAGCATTAAATAATGAAATCAGATACAAAATCTACAATTGACATGTACATAGACCAGATGCTAATCCCCTGCTATTAAGTCTCAGCCTATATAATAAAAATAAATGGCACATTCTTCTATATAGTAAGACATATGTTATGTATAACTATACTACATTGAATATAATTTCAGTTATTTACCTTTATTATATATCATAATCGAGTCAAATCAGCAATGGATTCACCTCCATGTAAGCCATACTCACAAACATCGCATTTGGTATAATAGCACACCTGTTTCACATCTTCTATATATAGGATGATTAATGCCAGAGTTGTTTGAACATCAGTTCCACACACATCATCGGCATTAAAAATTTAAGACGTTTTGAGATATTTTTGTGCTTCTAAAGAATATTTAATATTTTGAAAAATGACATGGAGATAAATGTATGAATAGAATATATACTCTCATGTTCATGCAAAAAAAACAGATTAAAGCAAAGAGAAATAAAAGAAACATTGAGCTTTAGAAGAATAATACTTAAACCAATAAGTCAATAATACAATTACAATAAATTTTGATGTCTTACAACCTAAAACTATTTAGTTATGTGGCAAACATGCGGAAACATAAGGCATTCAAGTATTTGATCAACCAAGGACTAGGTTTTTCACAAATAGAAGATATATTAGTGCAAAGATACACTATATATATAAAATATTAAGTATATAATTAAACCATATAGAACCATAACTCTCTTTTTATAGACGGTATAAATCTTTAATACTTCAAAATTTTGGTGATTAAGGCTAGAAACAATGTAAAGCACATAGACAATTGGCCTCAAAACTTAAATCTCAATCCTAGAATCAAAAAACTCATAAACCAAACTAACAAAAAATTTATTCTACTAATAACAAGCGCAAAAGCCCTTACAAATAATATCCCCGGAACATGAGAAAAATATAAAGAAAATCAACCCAGACGGATGAATATAGGCGGAGTAGGATGGGATGGAAAAAACGATATAGGGAGAAAATCGGCGTGTCAGGGAGAAGACTAGGGTTAGGTTTAAAAAACAAGGTTGGGAAGTAGGGAATTTATACCTAAGATGGTAGGTCATTATTTAATGTCTCGATCCAACAACGGACATCAAATCCGAATCTAGTTGGCTTTAATGAATTGGGCCGGCTTAAGCATAAAAGGTTTATCTTAGCCTAAAAGTAATTCATGTGACAAATTCCTAAACAATATACAATAGAAATAAAAGGTTTATTTGGCAATTAAAAAAAATACTTGCATCATTAGTAGGAAACTAAAACCAGCACTATTCTTAAATAGAATAGCGCGTATAAAATCTATTCACACATGAAAGATTGTTAAGACCAAATAGAATTTGCTACAAGAAATAATAATAATAATAATAATAATAATAATAATAGTTGGTAATTCAAATATTTAGCATGTCTCCTCATTAAAAAAATATGTATGCCATTTGTGATTTTGTAAAAAAACTAAAAATTTAATACTAAATCAAGACATGTATTATTGTATATATTTTGTGTGCTATAAACACTGATTGACTAATTAGAGCCAGCATATGGACAAAACCCTATTATAGTGTTAGTTTCTCTGTCTATGAAAATTATGTAATTATTCATTTTTTAGCTGTTCTCTAAACTTATGCATATTCCAATTGTAGTAAACACTTTTATCCTGCCACAATTTTATTACCTTTACTTTAAAATGGAATAACTAACTTACCATTATGTTTCCTACTTATCTTACTACTTTTTTATCAATCCGTTAATAATTTTTCAATAATACCGGTAGTTTACGTTTTATCTATTCTACTCTAACATTAAAATTGTTGGATAATCAGTTATTTAGCAATCGATTATTTTGTGAGTGAAAATGCGACGGGCCGGTGTACCAAGTTAATTAGATTAATTTGGAAGAAATAAATAAATATTATTTAGTTTTTTGTATATGGGGTTTGGTTAATATTTTGGTTATTTTGTTTGTCTCGAGACAAACCAAATTGTGCAACCTCAAATTAAACCCGGGTATATGGCCTAAGTCGAAATATTATTTGGATAAAATATTATCCGTTGGATAGATTTATTATAATCTCAAATGGAAGGTTTGAAATTAGAATAAATTACAATCGTTTCAAACGGAAGGTTTGAAACTAGAATAAATTACGATCGTCACAAACGGAAAGTTTGTAATTAGAATCAATTACGACTGCTCCAAACGGAATATTTGAATTTAGAATAAATTACATCGTGAATTAAGGTCGTAATTATGATTGTAATTGATCCCCTGTCATTTCGGCTAAGTGGAGACGCTTATATAAAGGGCCTCACCCCTTCATTCCAAATACCAACCCCAACAACTCTCTTCTCCTTCTCTCTTCTCTTCTAACTTTCCGGCAACTTTTCCAGCTCAGTTTCTCTCTCGCTTTGTTCGCCGGAGCTCCAACGATCAGATGTGCCACTCTCATTGGAGACGGAAACCATTTTATCTTTGGGTTAGAACGCCGCCAGCCACCGGAGGCACTACCAGAGCGTATCTAATTTTCGAAAAAGGATCCATCTTCGACTCGGTTTTACGGTATATTGTATTCTTGCAACACCTATTTATTCCAACAGTCGTAAATTAGATACTACTTTGCGAGAATGTCAACCCCTTCCAAGTCGCTGCCGGAGCCACCGGAACCGCTGCCGGAAAAGTCACCGGAGGAACCGCCGGAGAAGTCGCCTAAGGAACCCCCGGAACCACCGCCAGAACTGTAGCCGGAGGAGTCAACGGAGCCGGAACGGAGACGTCGCCGGAATCACCGGAGCCGTTGCCGGAGAAGTCGCCAGAATCTCCGGAGCCGGTTCTGAAGCCGTTGTCGGGGGAGTCGCCGGAGCCGCTGCCGGAGGAGTCGCCGGAGGTGCTGCCAGAGCCGAAGTCAACGTAGTCGCTCCTCCAATTGGGCCAGTTCCCTTTATGTGTGCCCTATGTTTTCTGAATTTGCCCCAGGGGGATATGGGGGCTTTTCTGGGTTTGTGGCCGCACCCTCTGCTTCATTCGCGGCCGAAATTGTTGGTCCTGGGCTTGGCCTACGGATGATGCCCCATATACAAGTTCCACAACCATTCACGGGATTGGATTTTAAGAGGTGGCAGGAAAAGATGCTCTTTTGCCTGGCTGTAATTGGGTTTGCCATGTTCGTGTTGCATGACGGCCCAATCACCCCAGAGCCCAGTGCGGACCAGAAGACGCATGGAGACTACATGACAAGAAATACTAAATTAGATATTCTCTCTAACTCTCTTTATAATGTATATTGCAAAATAAAGAGTGCGAAAGGGTTGTGGGATGCGCTTGAGAAAAAACTATAAGTCCGAGAATGCCAGGTCTAAAATGTTTGTTATGACCCGGTTTATGGACAATAAGATGGTAGATGGCAAGTCTGTTGTCAAACAAGTGGAAGAATTTCAGCACATTGTTCACTCTGTTATCGACGAAGAGATGCCAGTACCAGAAAATTTCATCACGAGTGTGATGATCGAGAAATTGCCCCCGAGTTGGAGCAACTTCAAGCACGGGCTGAAGCATGAGCTAAAGCAAGTGGAGCTTAAAGATCTAATTGTCCAAATCTAGATAGAGAAAGAAAACAGAAAACAGCAACGGCTAAAAGTGGAGATATTGCTAAAGCCAACTTGGTCGGAGATCCCTCCGAAAAACATGCACGCCCAACTCAAATGGACAAGGGCAAAGCCAAACAGTCCAAGTTTATAGGTAACTGTTTTAACTGTGGTAAAACAAGACACCAGGTTAAGGACTGTAAAGCACCGAAAAAGAAGAAGTCGAGTTCCCAACTGGTCGAGAAAAGCCACCGGACTGATAGTGATCTCAATAGTGATAACCTTGTCACTGTTGTGTACGAAAAAAATAATGTGGAAAGTCTAAGAGCTTGGTATATTGACACCGGAGCGACCTGCCATGTTTGCTCTAACCAAACAAACTTCTCGACCTACAAGGAGACCAAATGGAGGAAGCTGCACATGGGAAATCACGCAACTTCTGATGTCCAAGGCGTAGGGAACGCGGTGCTGAAGATGACCTCTGGCAAAGAACTAACCCTAAAAGATGTCCTGCATGTGCCAGGCATTCGGAAAAATATCGTCTCACGATCGCTACTAGTTAGGCTTGGTTTTAAACTTGTCTTTGTAGCAGATAAATTTATATTATCGAAAAATGGGATGTTCCTAGCTAAGGGTTATTTTACAAATGGGCTGTTCAAATTGAATGTAACGGTCCTGTGCCGAGCACCACCTACTGATAATAAAAATGTTGCTTCTTCTTCATACTTGATCGAGTGTTCTGATTTATGATATTGTAGATTAGGTCATGTAAACCTAAATGCTATAAAAAGATTAGTAAATATGAATTTACTAAATTTAAAAGAGGTGAACACTCAAAACAAATGTGAAGTTTGCGTGGAGGCCAAAATGGCAAAATTACTCTTCCCGTCCGTCGAAAGGAAAACGAAGCCATTAGATTTAATTCATACCGATGTATGTGCTTTAAAATTTGTGCAAACTAGAGGTGGAAAGAAATATTTAATCACCTTTATCGATGATTTCACAAAGTATTGCTATATTTACCTATTAAGGGAAAAGAGCGAAGCAATCGAGGTCTTCAAGAACTTCAAAACCGAGGCAGAAAATCAACTTGACTGTAAAATCAAGACAATTTGAAGTGATGGAGGTAGAGAATATGTGGCCCCATTGGAAGAATTATGTAATTAAAGTGGCATAATTCATCAGACAATGGCTCTATATTCACCTCAATCGAACGGCGTTGTAGAACGCAAAAATCAAACACTTAACGAAATGATGAATGCCTTGTTGATAAGTCATGACTTCCCCAAAACCTGTGGAGGGAAGCGGTACTGATTGCAAATTATATCCTAAACAAGATTTCACTTAAGGGTAAGGATGACACCCCTTAAAATATGGAAAGACAAGAAACCCACATATAAATACCTTAAAGTGTGGGGGTGCCTAACAAAAATGGAAGTTTCGTGGCCAAAAAAATTAGCTATCGGCCCAAAAATGGTAGATTGCATATTTGTCGGATACACACTGAAAAGTAGTGATTATCGTTTCAAAGTTCACAAATCGGAAATCCCTGGGATGATCGAGGGAACTACGATAGATTCGATGAATGCCACATTCTTTGAAAATACCTACCCTTGTAAGGAAAGGATGCAGTCCAACCCGAAATTCGTAGATGAAGAACTACGGGGTGTAAAAAGACAAATGACCAATAGCCCTTATCAAGAGGCTTCAGAGCCTAGGCGTAGCAAAAGGATAAGGGTCGAGAAAACCTTTGGTCCGAATTTTGTTACGTATATGTTAGACAATGATCCAACAACGATCAAAGATGTTACGTATGAAATTTATAATTAGGTTAAAAAGCCCAAGTTAGAAGAAAATATGGGCCTATAATTGGGTCTGTTAGACTGATCAAGGAGTGTTTCGAGAAAGTCAAGTGAAATAAACGTATTTCTAAGGAAAGTCCGCAGGTCGGAAGGTCCGTAGGTCGGAAGGTCCTCAGGTCGGAAGGTCCGCAGGTCAGAAAGTTCGCGGGTCGGACAATTTACCGGTCGGAAGGTCTGTGGGTCAGAAGGTCCGCAGGTCGGAAGGTTTGCAGGTCGGAAAGTCCGCAGGTCGAAAAGTCTGCAGGTCAGACAAATTACAGGTCGGACGATATACAAGTCGGAAAGTCTGCGAGTCGGACAGTCTACAAGTCGGATGGTCTGCAGGTCGGTAAGTCTACGAGTCGGAAAGTCTACAAGTCGGATGGTTTGCAGGTCGGTTGGTCAGTGGGTCGGACAATATGCATGTCGGAAGGTCTGTGGTCGGGCCAACAAGTCGGGTGGTCTGCAAGTCGGGAGGTTTGCGGTTGGACCATAAGTCGGAAGGTGTTCAGTCTGATCAACAAGTCGGGTGGTCTGCAAGTCGGGAGGTTTGCGGCTGAACCAATAAGTCGGAAGGTTTGCAGTCGGACCAACAAGACGGAAGGTCTGCGGTCGGACCAACAAGACGGAAGGTCTGCGGTTGGTCCAAAAAGTCGGAAGGTTCGCGGTTGGATAGGCAAGTCGGTTGGTAT